ACGTGGAGCTCCCGCGCTCCGCGGCCAAGCCGCTCCACCACGCGCAGGCGCTCATCGAGCTCCTCTGCCCGCCGCTCACGCTGCAGGAGATCCTCGCGTTCGTCGCCACTGGCCCGCACTGCGCCTCCTCCTCCTCCGGCGACGGCGCAGGCGCGCTCCTGCTCCGCGTCAGCTCGCCGTGCCCCGTCGGCAGCGCGTACGCGCTCCGCCTCGCCGTGCGCGTCACCGAGAGCTCCGTCCTCACCGTGTCCGTCGGCGGGGTCCCGCGCCTCGCGTTCGGGACCAGGCAGGCGTCGCTCCTCTCCGAGGTGCCGCTCGGCGTCGTCGCCGCCTCGCTTTCCGACGAGGGACACGGCGGCGGACGCGCCGTCGACGGCGGCGTCGTCATCGAGGAGCGCCTGCTCGAGTCTCTGCTGGCCATGAACCACGCCGACGGCGCGCACACGGACAACCCGGTGCCGCGGACGGTGTCCAACCTCCTCGTGCACGTCCTCGGCACGCACGTAGACCACGTCCACGACATTGTCACGCGCCTCGAGATGGACCTGGACACCATCGAGCTGCAGCTTGACAAAGGTAGGCGGTCGGAGGTCGCTTTCTTGCTGGTCAATCATCGCGTAAAGCTCCCATTCATTCCTCATCTGGATAAAAGTATTCGATTGCTGCTAACCTACGCTTCTTTGGTTGGTTGGTGATGGTGAAAATGCTGACCTCTTGCTGCATGAACTCAGATCAATGTGTTATTAGAATTAGATTTGACTCATGATTGCATACCAGGTTTTCTTTTAAAAAAATGCAAGGTTTGTTTGGAGGGTGGGGTTGGTATGCTTTGCATCAGAACGACAAATTCCAGACATTCTGGAATGGTTGAATGCAGGTCCTGAATGTAACTTCGACTCTTCGATGATGACTCTGTTACATGTATTCATGTAATTTCATGAATCAGGATCCTATAATGGCAGTAGAGTTTCCAAAGTAGACCCTGATCATAAGTTCCAAACCATCTAAAATTTGCAACAATGCTATGCGACCTATGCCTAGTTAAATGATGCGTGCTTCAGGTTTATTAGCATTGTGCAAATATATAGGGGTACCATTTGGTAAACATACTCTCCTTTTGATTTCCATGATTCAACAAATACTGTTTCGCATTCTCGCCTTCTTCTCTCCGATGGCTTGGCTTTTTGTTTATAATCTGTGGATTGTGCTTGCTGCAGGTGGTCACTTTTTGAGGAAACTGTTGCTGGATGGCAGGAGATTCCCAAAAATACATCTCGATCTACAGCGGTTGCTTCAGGTATGAGTTCTCTCAAGTTTCTGGGAAATATATTGGGAACCTGGAATGCTATTTTATAATTTGCACAGCTTTAGCCAAAATCACAACGTGCATCAAGTGAGTGCTGATATGACATCAAGGTTATCCAGCTGTGTTGTTTATAATTTGGCTTTAAGGTTCTAAAACTGCAGTTACGTGAGTTCAGTTAATCTATGAAACAGAAGTCGTCATAGACTCGATGCTACTATTTTATTTGTGTAGGTTGTTTCTCATGGTGAACAAGTATTCCCTCGTGTGAAGGAAAAATGTGCAAGCAAGAGTTGGTTCGCAACCGGAGATATAGCAGCCCTTGAAGATCTGATAGGTCGCCTCAGAAGGCTCAAAGAAAACCTAGGATTCATTACAAATAGAGTTACCACACTTCAGGCTAGTCTGGACAGTTGGCAATCAGAGCAGATAAACAAAAGCTTGTACTACCTTTCATTTCTCTCCATAATATTCCTTCCTCTTTCTATTGTCACTGGAGGTAAGTTCATTGTCCTGGTGCACACTCGTGTAATTTCCTTAATTAATTAATTTATGTTCTTCTCAGGGCTCTCATTTACCTGATTAATGTCGTAAAATTTTTCAGTTTTCGGGATGAATGTTGGTGGCGTGCCATGGACTGAGCAGAACAAGAACCCTAAAAACCGGGATGGCTTCATGAATGTCATGCTAATATGTGTTGTGATCTTGTTACTTCTTTTGCTATGTTTCTTATTTCCTTCATTATATTCTCATGTGACGGCATGGAGAACACGCCGTGAACTGACCCAGAGCAATTCTCAGAACAAGAGGCATCTGAAACTCTTCAAAGGTCACAAAGAAGGTTACATGCGCCTATGACAATACAGTTACAAACTGTGGGGTCCGTTTCATCTGTAAGGCTACTGTCAGTGATGTTGTAAGATTTAGCGGAAAAAGATTCTAGATAGTCAACACATGTACAGGTTTGAAGGAGAACCTCCATTTGAGGTTCATACCTTGTTCATTGCTTAGTTTATTTTGTTGTAGTCTTGGTGTCCTGGGGTAACTTGTAGATTCATGGTTGTCACTGTACCTTTATTTATTCTCAAAATGTGACATTTCTTCTATGAAGACCACCCACAACAATTTGTCATTGTTGTTCCAGGTGTTTTCATATATAGTTGTACGCAGCGAATTCCTGCCTGTTTTCATCACATTTTTGTCATTGTTGTTCCAGGTGGACGTGTTTCATAGTTCTACGCGGTGAATTCCTGCCTGTTTGATAAATAAATAAATAAATAAAAAAAAAACAGTAGGAACAACAGTATGTCTTTTCTTCTGAAATATGTTGTTGTTTCTATTGCATTGCTGCACGCCAGCTTTTTCTTCTGAAATATGTTTGTTTCTATTGCTTTGCTGCATGCCAGCTTTACTGCACATACTTGGCAATTTACATTGCCGGCGGTCGGCAGAACAGGACTGAGTCTCCTGCGTCACGAGCAATGAAATTTGCAAAGTTGTTTATGCAAGTCTGCTGATTGGATCCATCGAGTAAACAGATACCTGCATATGAACGTTGACATTTGGTTTGGAATTTGGTGACAAACCTGGCCAGAAGGCACCTTCAAACGAATTATATCCATGGCACATTAGACCAACATTTCTGATAAAATATAACAATACGAATTCCAGATGCTGCCATCTTCAACAAGCAAGTATATATCAAAACCACTCAACAGTGTCAATATGACAATATGATTTCTGAATAGAATTTCATATTTGAATACAAGGGTAAACGCCAAAGCAGAAAGCACGCTTCATTGTATGCAACAAAAAGAACACGGGGAAAAGAGATTGACCATCCAGTACAAAAGACTTTCCCCCACTCCAATATGGGACAAAAAGGATTGGAACATTTCTGGGTCTATGCACAGCCCCGTGTGACTGCTTGATGGTAACTCTACCAAACAGAAATTGTGCGTAATTGATGGGATACCACCAGAATTCTTCTAGAACCTGTAATTAAGAGCAACTGTGTAAGGATGCAACTAAGGACTAGATAAATGAAGTAGCAAATTGAGCTGGGGGGAACCATAGATTTATTTATTCTGTTGTTTATTTTTAACTATTTCATACCATAACACCAAAGCAAAAGCAGGAAAAGCTCACCTCTCCAGCTATACAGAATTGCATCTATTGTTTAGAAATTTACTAACACTTGATCTTCAGCACTAACTTCGTGATATTGAAAGATGAAAGCCATAAGTGTACTTCACGTTGCTTGTTCAGATTTATCATGACTACCCCGAAGATAAACAATGAGAAGTGGTAAAAAAAAGGAGAACTAAGTGGTGCACCTTGATCCAACTTCATTGCTGGCTTTCTGTACAGGAGATGAATGATCTCAAACACAAAGCCATGTGTCCATAATGATTCACTCTGCTGATCCACAGACAAAGAGTAAGACGAAAACATTATAATGATAGACAGAACCACTTGACGTACCAGTAGAAATAATTCTATCAATGTTATCTATGCGTCGCTGTATGGACTTGAGTAGCATGTTCATTGCTGAAATCCTCTTGCGGATACTGGAAATCCTTGCTGAGTGTTGCATTATTACCATTGAGGGTGCATTCTCTAATAGCCTGTCTAGCTCTGCAAAAATTCAGTCTTAGTTTCATATAGTTACTGGATACACATACATACTTCCCATCAAAATAATGTGTACGCAGACAATAGTAGCGCAATAGGTGAGACAAAATTTGAACAAAAGTGTGGAGCATAGGAAAATGTAAGAGACTTCTCCAAGTGGCTTAGGGTTCTCCAAGTGGTATTCAGTGTGCCCAAATTTTTTTACCGGATTGAGAACCTGGTCACCGGCAGGCAAGTTGGATGCTGCCGTGTCAGAATCATGAATTTCTCAGTTTAATAATTTTAATCATTGTATACTGTGTAACTGCTAGAATTTTCTAGTTCATCAATTTATTAGTTAACTCGCTTGAGATAATGAAGAGACTGAAATTGGACTAAATAAAAAGTAGATTCAGGTGCAACTAAGAACAACTATGTTTATAGGAGGAACAGGATTAGGTGGAATTGGATTATTTACATTGAGCCTCTCGGACAGTACATATATGGCCCTGTTCACTTAAACTACTTCAGCAGTACTTTTCAACGACAGTGTGGGCCAAGACAGTACACAAGGATCCCAATCCCAACTGACTCTATCCTAGTCATGATATACTCTGTAACAATGTTAAGTGCAACTAAGAACAGCAGAAGTAGATTCAATCAAGTCCAGGGTCACAATATTGAAAACATAGTTTACAGTTTGACAAAGTAAAGTTCAAATCAGGTTCATATGCACCTCAATACTCACAAGAAACAAAAGATGCAATCTCGCACAAGAAATACTTGGAGAATTAGTTAAATTACAGTTGCAAGTTCCAACGAGCTATAATTTCGACTTCACCCTGTTCACGGTTACAATCCCAAAGAAGACAAGTACGTTTTGGGGCTGTCCCTGAATTTCATTGCCAGGGTGAGGAAATTACGGAAGAGTAGTTTAGTTTAAGAAAAGAAGCAAAGTAGATATAGATAAATAAATACAGAGCTCACAACTCATTTGCTAGTATGTCATCTAAATCTCACTACTCTTCGGTTTGAATTAACGCCACAATACGCATAAGCTAGTGTCCAGACAGAATGGTACGAATCAGAAGCCGGAGAACCCTAAGCCACAACGCGCGCAGCGCAGGACAGCAGCAGCAGAGAAAGTCGAAGGCTGGAGCGGGGAGAGGCACCTACCTCCGTTGAGGCGGTCGACGGCAGCAGCAACCTCATCCTGGCTCCGGGCGGTGGTGGCCGCCCTCTCCTCGTGCTCCCGCAGCGCGCCGGCCAGCACCCCCGCGATCGCGGAGGCCAGCGCCTCGCACCGCTCCAGAGGGAGCGCGGCGGCAGGCTCGTCCTCCACGCCGCCGTCGCCCGCGCTCTCCGGAGGCCGGTCGGCGTCGGCCGCGGCAGCGGCGGCGGCGGCGGCGGCGGAGTGGGAGGGGAGATCCGCGCCGTCCATTCGAGTGGTGGTCCCATCGGGAGAGCACGAGCGGGTTTGGTGGAGAGACATGAGGAGCGAAAGGCGTTGGGCCTTCGGTTGGGCCAAATAGGGCTTTGCATTGGGCTAATGAGCTTTCGGGCCAAATAGGGCTTTGCATTGGGCTAGTGAGCTTTCGGTTCGGCCGAAACGAAAGGCCCTGATGTTGGTTTGACTAGTCCACGCTCGGCTTCAAAATGGACCATAGATTGTGCATTTTTTTTAAAACAATGGCAGGAGCTCTGTCGCTCAATTAAGACTAAAGAATATTATATAAAAGAAGGTTAGCCAGACGAGACACCAAAAGGCACCCAAGGGGCTAACCAACCCACACGACGCAAAGCTGCCAGCAGCTTCGATTTCCTATGGTAGGCCACCCACTAGCCATCCACCGACGGGTCGCCACCGGTCATCATTGCCAAGCTCAAACACCCCGCGAAGAGCAGCTCTGACTTCTAATCACGAACCCACACCACGCATCGAAGCCGCGACGATAATCAAAATGTGACGCCTTCAGGAAGGGAGCGACGCTGATGGTGCCACCATCCCACGTTCAAAGTGGACCGGGTTTTCACCCTTGGATGATAGTGCTAGAGGGAAACACGACACCCCCAACAGGGAAGCGGCGCCACCAGCGTCGCCGCCGCCAAGGCTTTCACCCAAGAACCCTATAGCATGAACATCGGGCAGAGAAGCTCGGACCCTTGCAAACTAGCACCGCCATCGCCGTTGTCCCTCCGCCCCACATAAGCCCATTCAGAAAGGCATCGACACGCCGGTTGCACACAACAGCCGCATAGCTACGTCGGCTGCCACCCCCTCCGAACAGGCCACGCAGAGCGGGTGTCGATGCGGGACCCACAGGATACCCCGTAAGAGAGAGAGAAGATCTAGTTCAACTAGGATTCTTCCCATGTAATCTTAGTAATAGAACTATAAAGTAATCCTACTAGAAAATCTCATTGTAAACCGATTAAGACTTCGGCCTCCTGACTATATAAAGGAGGGCAGGGCTCCTAAAGAAGGACAACGATTGTACAACATAACACTTCATAATCAATCCAACGTAAAAGGCAAACGCTGACTGAACGTAGGGTCGTTACTCGATCTACGATCGAGGGCCTGAACCAGGATAAATCGACTGTCTCTTGCGTTTACCATCGAGTTCAGCATACGCCGAAGCCCGAACATACTGCCCTGGGTACCCCCGTGGCAGGCTATCGGTGGTAAAATATCGACAGCTGGCGCGCCAGGTAGGGGCCTTCGGCGAATTTGCATCCGAGAGCTCGATGGACCTCAACAACATGAACTTCTCGACGGGATCAACTTTCATCTTTGGCTCGTGGATCTGCGAAGCGGACAAAGAATGGCAAGCTCCAAAGCCGTCTCCTCAAGATTGAAACACCATGAAGACTATTCTATTCCGGCGACTACGACGGACCATATCTCGGAAGATTCAGCAGACTCATGATATCCGATTCGACTCGGGTTTCACGGCTTTATGATCCGACTCGAATTCAAGCTCCGTATCCGAGATGAAGTCCTATTCGAGTGCTTTCAAGAAGTCGAGTTCCTGTTTGGCAAGATTCCAAAGCACAACCCAAAACAACTCGGATTACCCTCAGAATTTTTTCAAAAGGCCGAGTTCTTTTCCATTTGGGCTCGACAACACGACAAAATCCTATCAGGGACAGTTTGAAGGGTCTTTCAAACCAACACTTGGGATACCACTGACAGGAGCCTAGGAGGGTCTCGTACTAACGATAACATCGCAAGACTGTATCATCCACTGGCCAGGATCCATTCCTGAGGATAGCGGAACCCAACTAGTCGGCACAACAACAACAGCTATTCTACCTTACCAAGAGGGAGACTCAATCTCACGACGTCGAGACACATCATTGAAGTCATCAAGAACTCCGGACAAGATGAAAACTAACAACAATAACGGAACGGCTCACGCACGGGAAGTGCTCATGGTTCGACATCCTCGGTCACCATTAAACCCCCCAGAAGCACCCGATGTCAGGTCATCAGATGAATCAGAATCCAACATATCACCCTTTGCTCAGGGCTACGATGGAGAAACCGAGAGTCAGAGACAGGCTAGAGAAAGGAAAAATAAGTTGAAACAAGGGCGCTAGCACCGCGCTCGACAGCGTAGAGAAGCCTGGACCAAATACGAGTCAGAATTGGCTGAATACGACAAAAGAAAATCACAACAAGAGGCCGAAGAGAGACGCACAGTGAGTACGCCTTACGATAAGATTCGAGAAGCATTAGAAGAACTCAAGGCAACTTCACATCACGGAGAGAAGTACGAACAGCTCCAGGACTTGCTCCGGTCAACGATCCCAAGAACGCATGAAGAGAGAGCCCGATCAAGACTACCCGCCAGATCAACAACCCGCAGGCAAGAAGATCAAAATCAAAGGAAGTCCGCTTTTGAAAGACTTGGACCAGGTGGAAGCCATAGCGGAGGAAGTAGGAGGGAACATAGTCGGGGCCATCAATTTGAACAACCAAGGAAGACCAGGAGTAAAGGGCCTACCCAGACAGCCTCGCAGAATTATTCCCGTCAAAACAACACTTGGCCAGAAGAAGGAGCCGAATCCGAATTCAAGGAAGCCGGAACGCATGACAGATTTCCCTGTTTCGCAAACAGGTTGGCATCAGTACGATTACCTCACAAATTCAAACCGTCTAATCACTCCAAGTATGATGGCAAAACCGAACCAAGGCAATGGCTCAGAATATATTCACAATCGATTGAACTAGCCGGAGGAGACGATGATATCAAAACCTTGTTCTTTCCCATAGCACTGGAAGCGATGCCCCTCCAATGGTTCGATAAATTGAACCCAGGATCGATCAGAACTTGGGAAGACTTGCAAAGAGCTTTCTGTGAACATTTCGCAGGTATCATCACACACCCGATCACTCATGCCGAACTGAAAGGACTCAAACAAAAGGGGGACGAAAGTCTTAGAAATTACTATCGGCGATTCGGTGAACTACGGGCTCAAGTGCATGACATCACCGAACGAGAAGTAATTGAAGCTTTCTCTCACGGAATCATGGCTAGGTGGCAATTTCAAGACTTCTGCAAAGAAAATCCGAGAAATAATGAAGAATTCAGATGAATAGTAGAAAAAATGATTACTGCAGAAGAAAAAACACGAGAAAGGTTCCCGGATAGAAGCAACCAAGACAACCCGGATAGGCAAAATCATCGAAATAACAGACATCAATAAAGAAAGCGTAGACCAGACAATACCGTGGCAATGGCCGACAAATCAAAGAAGTTTTCCAAACCCAGACAATATGATGACATTGAAAACATACGTTGCCCGTTACACCCTAACGGGAGACACACCATCGGAAACTGCTACACTTTCAATGATCGATACACGAGAAAAGACAGTAAGGAAAACACCAAAGAGGATAATCACAAGAAAGATGAAGACAACCACGAGGACAAGGGATTTCAAAACCTAGGGAGCAGTAGCGATGATCTTCTCAGGGGCCCCAGATTGCACAAGCAAACGTCAAGAAAAACTAGCACTACGGACTATCATGACGGCAGAACCGGCTACACCAAGATATCTCAGTTGGTCACAATATCCAATCCAATTTTCAAGAGAAGACCAATGGACTAGCGTAGGGAACGAGGCCATTACCCACTAGTCTTAGACCCAACTATTGCCGGTATGACTGTCACCAAAGTACTAATTGATGGGGGAGCTGGACTCAACATCATCTTTTCGTAAACACTAAGGAAGATGGGACTACAACTCATTTGGGATGATTACACCAACAAGCACCCCCTTTTACGGAATAGTACCCGGCAAAGCAGCCATGCCACTCGGACAAGTTACTTTACCCATTACTTTTGGAACTCCTGCGAACTATCGAACAGAGTTTATCAAATTTGAGGTCGCGGACTTCGATTAAATCATATCATGCGATCCTCGGACGCCCAAAGATCGGCAAAATTCATGGCAATACCACATTATCCGTACTTATTGCTTAAGATGCCAGGACCCAACGGTATCCTTTCTCTTCGAAGCGATTTGAAGCGTGCTTTTGACTGCGACGTTCAGGCAATCCAAATTGCGGCAAAAGCACAGGCCGACAATGAGAGAAAACAAATAGCCACAATTGCTGCGGAGATAAGCCAAGAAGAATTAGAAATACCGACTAAAAAGCCCAGCATCATCACACCACCAAAAGAAGCCGACGTCAAGCAAATCGATTTGGGCACTGGCGATACCTCCAAGACAAAGAACCATCGTGCCCACCTCTCGGCAAAATAGAATCGCGCTCACCAACTTTCTTTGGGACAACAAAGATATCTTCGCCGAAGCCGCCGACATGCCGGGTGTCCCAAGAGAGTTGGTGAGCACGTAATTGATGTTAATGAAAACTCCAAGCACTCAAAAGCAACGGCTACGACGATTCTCACCCGACAAAAAGGCAGCGATTAAAAAAGAAATCACAAAACTGATGGCAGCCGGATTCATCAGAGAAATCCTTCATCCGGACTGGCTAGCAAACCCGGTCCTTGTGCAAAAGAAGAACACAAACGAGTGGCGTATAAAAAGGCCGACTACACGGATCTCAACAAACATTGCCCAAAAGATCCATTCGGGCTACCACGCATTGACCGAGATAGTCGATTCAACAAATAGGTCAAGACTATTATCCTTTCTCGATTGCTATTCAGGGTATCACCAGATTGCATTAAAAGAACAAGACCAGAGCAAGACTTCTTTTATTACTCCATTCGGTGCTTACTGTTACAAGACCATGTCGTTTGGACTAAAGAACGCTGGTGCCACATATCAAAGAGCTATACAAACTTGCCTTGGAGATCAAATCGGTAAAATGTGGAGGCATACGTGGATGATGTAGTGGTGAAAACAAAGAACCCGAGACACCATGATTGAAGATTTAAAGCAAACATTTGAAAACTTGAAGAG